CTTGTCAAGTGAAATGATCTTAAATCTATTTGATATATGTAATAATTCCCATTTTGAGATGGTTATGCACTTATTATAAGATTATTTAGCTTATTATTTACTTATTTCATTCTCACTATACTATACAGATAATTTTGCTGGTTTCAAGCACATTTCATTGCTTCAAACAAGCAAAGTTATCCACCAATATAGTGAAATAATTACTTAAAGCAAGTAAAAAATGTCTGGAAATAAGGAAGATAATCTTAAATTAAGCTTACAACAATCCCAACAGGAGAAATATTAGATTTATTGACTATATTTAATAAAATTTTACAAGATACCATTTTTTGCAGTGTTCTTCTTTTACCAACAATGGCTATGAAGGAACACATTAGTGGGCGGAGCATAAAGAGGTCCATTGACCGGTATGGGTATTGATGATGATAATATATATTGTAGCACTTTGTATAACTTTTAATATAACTGTAAACAAATTTAATTTAATATATCTGCAAATAAAATTAAATATTACCTCTTTCTATTTCAGTCTTTCAAAAAATTACACAAGAAGTATCTTGGCATTTGAGCCATATCGGAGCAATTTCAGTGAATGCACAAGTAATAGATCGAAATCTTTATACGATACGTTCATTTTAACCAAATCTCCACAGATTTTTTGGGATAGTGCTGTTCAGTTACATTCAAAAAGGGCCATGTGTTCCCAAAAGTTTTCCTACCGCATGTCTGAAGCAAAGCCACACATTAAGTTCTAACAACAGCTCTTATCTCCAGGTGAAAGAGGTAAGCAAAAGGAAAAGACTTGTTTTTATAAAGAACCTCTCCAATTTAAACCTTCACCAAGCAGTCAGAGTTTGAAGAATGCAAATGTAAAGGAACATTCCAAAGTTTTTCAACCTAATCCGCTGTGTATGCAGCATATGGTCAATTACCATGGATGATAATTTCTCTGTACTTAGAAAAAAAGAGAAGACCTTATAATGGAACCCACTTACAATAGAAGCCAGTTGGCAGATGCTTTGCTTATTTATTTATTTATTTATTTATTTTCAATTTGTCTTCCCAATTTAGTCACAGCCAATTCCCACCCGCTAGCTAGGCCTCCCCATCACACGTTGCTACCAAGCTGGGAGGGTGAAGACTATCATTTGCTTCCTTCTAGACATGAACTGCTGTTAATGCAGCGTCATTGGACAACTGAACATGCTTGGACGAGAATTGCATCTGCTAACAGATGCCTGCATTGGCTGTGTGATGGTGGGGGAGAAAGAGGGCCATCCTTTTCACCCAGAGAGAACAAGGCCAATTATGCTTTCTTGGACTCCCAGCCACGGATAGCTGTGGCATATTCCTGGGGATCAAACGGGCATTAGTTATTGGCTGTATGCTACAGATGCTGTAGAAAAAAAATAGGTTGAAAACTGTTGGAGTATCCCTTTAGTCCCTGACCAAGGAGCCGGATAAAGTTCCAACGGTAAGAAAGAACTCAAAATCTGAATGGCAACATAGGAAAGTGTAAATAATTTCCCTTTTTTGTAATGGATGACTAAAAAATAACTATTTACAGCACTTGCTTATCTACAACACATACTGTAAATCGCGTCCTTGCAAAGAACATGCACAAGTCAAGGACCTCGTCAAAAAAGGAACAAAATCATGGTCTTTCCATAAAAGTAAACGTCTCAGGTTCTCAACACACTTTTATCAGTTGAAAAGGTACTGTGTTAAGGTTTACAGTTCTGCTCTTTGCCACTGTATTTACAATAGAAGCATGTGAAAATGACAGCATACGGCTGTATATACAGAGAAATGAACTCGGTCTATTGAGACTATGATACAGTTCAAAGCTCTTCCCTGGGAGACAAGACACAATAAAGATTGATTTTTCTTTTTTAAAAAAGAAACCGACAAACAATATACTTCGTTAAAATTATTCATATAAATACTCTAACCTTTATCATACTTGTTTATACAGTAACTATTACTTTTTAATATGTATAAATTAAGTTGGAATTTCAAGTGGCCAAATGTTTTGATGGCAAAATATGTAGTATGACAAAAAGGCATTGTTTTTCATAAGGCGTTCACTTTATATCTTATTATGACACAGGCAAAAATAAAATAAAAATGGAACCTGCTTTATGTACAGCGACTGGCCTATCCAACGAGATGAGGTAACATTAGAATCAGTGCAGACACCTGCAAGGTTGATAGAAGAAACTACATTAAAGATGGTTGAAATTAAAGAGGGCATTACGGCCAAAAACTGCATTTGTCATGTTATGTAGGCTTCTGTAGCACAGCACTAAATCCTTCCGCTTCATTGTATTGACAGAATTCATGATTTTATGTGTAGCTGCGTTCCAAAGCCTAGGCTGCAGCTGAGGTAGGCCGGGTCCCTGGTAGGACTGTCCTATGAAGACTCCTCTTTGGTAGCCTATTGGTCACACAAGTGTAACGGTCCTAACAAGGCTGCATGGTGACGTCACCGAAAAGGTCCCACCTCTTGAAATTGTAGCACGAAACTGGTGAGAGAAAATGGAGCCCGCTGCGTTGTATCTGTTACTGCTGTACCTAATAAGCCAACAAGCTTATGTAGTACGATAAACTACATACATACAAAAACGTCTGATTAAAATATGATGCTTTAATCAATTATTTTGCACTTTATAAGGCCATGAAGACGAATTCAACGACAACAGCGTCGTTTTTTGGGTTTTTTTTTCCATTTTCATGGTGCTGTATTTTTTTTTCCATAATTTGTGCGCAGAGAGCTGTGGGGAACCAAAGGCCTGGAAGGATATGTCACTCAGAACATAGGCTGCGTTTCTAGCCTGTATACGAAGGGTGCTTCACTTTGGAGCGGCCTTCTATGATGCAGCCTACCTCTCCTGCAGCCTAGGCTTTGGAACACAGCTATTGTTTCTGTGTTCTCGTTCATCAATGTCCTTCACTACAATACCCAACATGCATCACAGAAATACATCATATAACCACTTAAAATCCCTGTGGTGTCAACCAGTCTTTACTGCTAAGCTTGCCACTTATCTATAGGCTAATACATACAAGCTAGCATTAGTGGAATTGTACCTCAGCTGTCACACAAGATATCATTTATCCTCATCTTAGACACAACTTAATTGAAACATGCCAGAGAAAAGGAGCCAAACTGAGGTAAGGTGTTAAGCCAGGTAACTACCTTGCTCAAAAAACTATAGTTTTTAGCTTGTTATCCTCCTCATCTGAGTCATCTCTTACATTGGATTAGTGCACTGTAATGAAGATTTGAAGACAGTTGCTACACTTATGTTTGCAATAAGATATTCTGCTTCCTAGCAGCAACATTAGCCTTTGTTCTGCATTTACCAACCGAAGAAGAACAATTAAAACATCCCACTCTCATAAATCTACGGAGCCCCACTGGTGACATCCTTTATAAATAAAAATAATGCTTGGCCACGACTTAGTAAGGCGTTGGAATGAGATGATTAAGTCGTGCCCACAACTTAGTGAAACTCACTAAGTCGTGGCCACGCATTAGGATCTCGTTCCCTCACGTTAAAAAGGCGTGGCCACGCATTATTTTTATTTATACAGGATGTCATCATCAGGGCTCCGTATAAATCCTCCCTAAAGCAGTTGTAGTTTTTCAGAAGTTTTTTCCACCTTTAAGACGCATCAGAAGGGGGTTTTCATTTTTAAACTGGAAAATATCTTTCAAGAAACTACTGTGGCACCACTGTAAAGTTGAGTAGGCATGTTTACAACAGATGTAGCACTGGCTAATTTTTTATTTTGACCGGAGTGCCCCTTTAACCTAAACGTCTGTAATGATGCTTTTGCATGAAGTTCTTTCACAGTTCGTTTACTACTTTTTTCATCTTGTCCAAGATTTAAATCTTGGTCAACAAAAGTTTTGGGACTAATTATAAAACAAGGTCATCTACAGCACCTTACTGCTTCATATGGTATGCATAATACACCAAAGTATGTATTATGATCTTTTATTAACAGTGTAATTTTGGCAATTTTGATTCTTCTTGTTACTTGACTAGACGGCATCATATGTGCAATCACACATAGGTGTCCTTTAGCAAACATTCCTTTATCTGATTTGCAGTCTTTGCAAACTGTGGACTCTGAGCTATGCAAAGCGTTACAATTACTCATATTTTAGTCTGTTCATTTGCATATTTCTTTGACTTCATGCTCGCAGTGGCTCAGATTATAATTGATATGCAAATAAGCTGACCCTATGAATGTATAAAATCTAAAAAAAAGAAAACAAAAGCATGTAAAATAGCAAGCAAAGTGCTCTTGATGTGTGAACAGCTAATGCAGACAGCTCAGGGTGCAAAGCCCCAGACTGAACAACCAGAAGTTCTTGATTTAACACAGTGTCTTTGTTTCTGTCATACTAAAAAAGGACTCATCTGGATATGCTTTCCTGCATTATGCTATGATTGATGTTCAAAACAAAATACCATTACACATTGCCATGGAAATGATAAGAAAAGCTGCAATGTTCCTCTTGTATCTGTAGCTCGTACATTCCCGAAATGCTGCAATACGTCTCGCCAACAGAACGGAACGGACACTTTGCCATCAACACATTCTGGAGTTACTTAGTCTTACAATATTCTTAGAAGAATATTCATGGAGAAGTTTTTCCGAAAGGCCCAATGTTTTCGTTTGCCACTCAATTTGAGTCTGCGCCTCATTTTCTCTCGCTGCCGAGCGCGTTTTTCATCATAATTAAAAATGTCTCATTAAGTATGTTTAGATCCTCCGCGCAGATCTTATCAAACAAGACACCCATGCAAATCTGTATAAACGAGGTCCTTAGAAAACTATTAACAATGACTGTTTCTGAAATTACAAAAAGAAAGGAAAAGGAAAACATACAGAACTTTTCAAAATGGCGACACTTCTGTACACTTCGTTTACATTGCACTTCCAGGTTTTGTCTTGTTCGAAGCTGTCTTGGATGGACGTTCCGTTCAGACGCTCGTACAGTTGGGGATCTCTCTTGTGCTTTCACAGGTGTTGATCATCCCGCCTGTTTGGGAAAAGCACAAGGACAGACTTATATTAGTCAACTAGTGACTTAGAGTAAAGCTCCAAATTAAGTAGTGCCAAAACAGTGCAGTCTTCAAAGTAATGCTTCCTAAATGCTTCTTGGCTTGTATGTGTTTCTATGAAAAAGCTTTAACATTGATAAAACAGGGCTGCCCAAAAGTGGTCCTTGGGCCAAAGTTGACCAGTGAGGATGTTTGGTTTGGCCCATTACAAAGAAACCCTAAACCTACCCTTCAGCCTGTAATAGAATAAACAGATTTTTATTCTATACGTAACTTATTAATTATTATCTTATCTTCCTTTTAAAATTGTATTTTTCCAGCGAGATTTCAAAATTTCTGCATAATTGCAGCATAATGATGTAAAGTTGTTTGTGTTAAATGCTCCATTCTAGAAAAACTTACTAAGTCAGAATTATTCACAGTGGTGGTCATAGGAACCAGACGTCCACATCTAAAAACTTCATCACAGAAAGTTATTACATGAAATGTTTACGAATATACCGGCTGATGCCTAAGATCAGAATTTGTGCCTAAAATGTTATTTTTAAAAATCCCTTCATGCAGTGCGCTACAAGGCAAATCCTATTTAGGACACTTCTTTTCATTTACCACTGTTTTACCATTATTAATATTGTATGTAATGTATGTGAAGATGTGTTTAGGCTCACTGGTCATTCTGGATTTACATTTTTGCAAAAATGGCATTTGCTGGACAGTTTTACCTAGAGTGGCTTAAAATTTGATCATTTTTAAAAAAGTAGGCAAAGGTAGTGTTAGGAATCTTGCCCAAGGACAGAGGTAGAGGGCAGAGGTGTTATCCCACCACACTATTCCAACCAATAAATTAAATAAATAAAATAATCACCTTTCTTTTACATATTTTAATAACAAAATAACATGTAATATCATAAAATAAATTTTAGAACTACCTACACTCTAATTTTCAGCAATGAAATAGATCGGCCATTTTTGATTCCTTATCCATGAGTGTGAAGAACTTTTCAAAGGTATTAAGGATCTTCACATATGAAACTTCTTTATCATTTTAAGGTTTACCATAGACACTACATTATGTGGAGGTTCTTTAAACTTAAAAAAAAATGTTCTTCACACTCTCACATCTCATTTACAAAAATGGTTCTCTAAAGAACTTTTCATTCCAAGGTCCATTAGGGAATCAAAAATCGTTCGTATATCGGCATGACACAAAGAACCTTTTCTGGCACCTTTATTTTTAAAGGTGTTACCCCTTTATTTGTATATTGCTTTATCTTCCTCAGCCTATCACAAGCATTGCATGTTAATTTCCCAAGACAAAAAGTTTGGACAACCTGGTGTAGGATCTTTACATTTTGTGGAAGCTCTTTAAAAAGGTTCTTCACGCTCACATGTGGCAAAAATGGTTCTTTCATCCATTAAAAGGTTCTTTAGGGAACCAAAAATGGTTCTTCTATGGCACTGTTCCAAAGCACACTATTTGGCACCTTTATTTTTACTCTGAGCTGCAGTGGTTCCTGATTTAGATGCTTCTTTTTCGAGACGTACCATACTATGTCCTGGAAGAAAATAGAAGAACCATCAGCACTGCAATTTAGTTTCAATCTAGGCTTAATCCATGTTTGGAAACCAGCTCGTGGTGTAGTTATGTATAATATGTAATACATTGGAGAGAATGGCTCTTCATTGTCCTTCCAGTCCAGAAGGCTTCCCTGTACTCAAACAGCAGCACTAATCTGGTTGGCATTTTCTTCTTGAACAACTGATCTCAAAGCATCAACAACACACCTCATTTTATTATTCTATATGTTTTCAGTCAAATAAAGTCAGCATGTTGGGATAACTCAACATAAAATGCAGTTGCAATGAATGATCTAAACAACCTCATTGGTTTTAAGTGCAGGCAAATGTCCAACAAGATACAATGTGGCATACTGACAGTGGAGAAATTCATTTCCAATGAAAATGTGGCCATCAAGAGCCCAAACCCCATTTCCAGCTGTAGTCTCCACCTCTCCGATGCTCAGCAAAGCTCTAACTGGGAGTACCAATGTAGGAATTAGAATAGGCCTGGAGAATCTGAGCTCTAACCTAGGCACCTGATAACTACCCAACATGACAGTCATTAGAGAGTCGAGATGATTTCTTGTAGCACTGCAAAAATATGGCCTGGCCATGCTAACGGTGTTGATCAACCAATGAAAGAAACAGAATCTATAGTAAGAGAAGTCTAGTGTCATGCTTTTCTCTCCTCTAAAGGTCGACTGTTTCGTCTGTTCCCCTTGTTAGCCTTTAATTATGTAATCTGTATTCTCCTGTAGTTATTGTTTATCAGACAATTAAAAAATAATTTGCAGTCATTAAACAATTACATGATCACAGAAACAGGCACATTGGAAATGTGCCCACTGGGGACTGCTGTGGTTACCCCTCATCATTATGTGGTTCAAGCCTTGGAGAAGTAAGACCTCAAAAATGCTGCATTATGACGGATACTGTTTATTTTACATGTGCAAGAGTTTCGAATCTTATTGCTTTCAGACGTACGTTCGCCACTGTGTTTTGATCTCTGGAGAGACTGCAGTAATTAAATCATCTGCTGCAGCACTCGGGACATAAAAAGAAACCTTAACTAAAAATTTCACCACTCTTCTGTCATTTAATGCACAATTCTTTGCAAGCCTTTTTTGTGTTTCAGAAGGTGTCAGCTGGCCTTGAATTTAGGTTGAGTCTTCCAATACAGCACTTTGCAATGCAGATCACTGCACTCAAGTTATATTAAGATACAGTATTGTGCAAAATTCTGAGACCATTAATTTCCTGTCACAGTCATTGAGTACAAGCTGCTAATTTTTCGGTGTCAGCAAAGCAAAAAACATATAATTGGAAGAAAATTACATAGAAGCCTCAACAAGTGAATATAATGTCAATTTTTTTCAACATTTACTGTGTCCACTCTTTGCCTTTATTACAGCTTCCATTCTTTTTTCGTGAGACTTGCTTTCAGTATATCAAAGAAATCTGCCTCCAGAAATCAGTTTTAGAAGCTGGTTGCATTTTCTGCTTCTCACAATCCAAATAATCCCAAACACATCCAGTGATGTTGAGGTCTGGACTCTGGGTTGGTCAGTCCATTGTTCTGAGAACACCAGCACCGTCTTTGCTGGATTTACAAATTTTCTTCTTTTTTGTCTGTTTCCTTTTCTCAGTAACAGCTTCTTGACAGCTGCACATCCTTTCAGACTCACAGTGTTGAGTTGTCTTCTCACAGTGGAAGGATGGACAGAAACTCCTGTGATTTGTTTCTGGTCTGAAGTAAGAGTGGAGCTTGATTTTCTCCTCTCTCTCAAAGATGACAGCTTTAAGTACTGTTTATCTGATGGGGTCAATTTTGGTGGTCTACCAAATTTTGCATGTTTGTTAGGAGCCCCATTTTCTTTTTCTTTTTTTAATCTTCATTTTTTGAACTCCAGCTTTAGAAACTCATGTCTTCTTCACTTATTTTCCGTTCTCCTTCCTTGTGCAAGTGGATTATCTTATATCTAATCCCATCAGCAACATCTCCTGAATTGTATTCAATGGCCATTTTGACTGGAAATTAAATAAATGAACGTTAGTGTCTGACTTTTGCACAGTATTGTATACATGTATGTTAATCCCCATCTTCTCTGTACAATTCAAAGTCATGCAGTTTGTAGGTTTGTTACATTCATTAATGGGCTGATAAAAAACCTTAATTCAAATAGAGTTCAAAGCTTGAAAAACATTTTGCTCTGTGTTGTGTTTCAGACCACAAGGTGATTGACAGTGGCATAGTCACAGCAGTACAAACAACCAACAACCGGACAGTTAGGCTTTATCTGTGTGAAATATCTGGTTAGGTAGGATGACCATGCATCCTCTTTTTTCAGGACACATCCTCTTTTTTAGTCCTAAAAACGCGTCCGTCTGAGATTTTTAAATCGTCTGAAGTGTCCAGGATTTGGCTTTGCTTTCTTGTTGACTTTTGTAACACCCTGCCCTATGCCACCTCCTGCAACCAATGTTCTCTTTTTCTGAAAACCAAAACCAATTCTAGATTATGGAGGTAACATTACCAGTTTTAGTGGCTAAGTGGAAATTTGGCTAGTTTGGTGCATGCCAAGAACCAGCTACGTTGATGGGAAAAGGAGAATTTGACTGACCTGCTAAATAATCTACCAATCTATTGTTTTAGCAGGGCTAAACTTCAAAAGAAGACTGCAAGAAAAACAAAACCATGAGAAACAAATGAGTGTATTTGTCATAAAACACATGCTTCAAATGCTTCAAAGGAAACTCTTCAATAACTTAGTTGTGTGGTGCACTAAGCTTCGTTTTTTAATCTAGTGACTGTATCTATGTATTTCTCTGATGTTGTCATAGTGTGCAGAGCAGGCAACTGCTTGAAAAAGTACGCTTCCTTTCTGGCTGATTCTGGCAGATAAAACCTGCTATAGTAAGAGCTCAGGGACGGTCAACTGATAAAATCTGAAAAGTTGTGTCCAGCTTAGTTAACTATAGCTATCAGATGCTCACTGTACATGTGGGCGGAGCATCTGATTGTGAGACTAGAAATTGACCAAGCTATCGTGCAAATGCCGTTAGCATTCGCTATACTGTAGTACAGGTGACAGTTGTTAACACAGGCGACAACTCATTGAAGGGATGTTAAAATCCAGATGCCATAAGATGCACTAAGGAATAATGGGTAGGGATCATTAAGTAAAACTAAACTGGAAAGTAGTATAGCCTGATCATATATGATCTATGATATTCCCACTCAACACAAATCCAACATAACACAAAAAACATAACCAACTTCTTTGTTTGGCAGTTAATAGTAAATTTATGTAGGACTCTATGGAAATAACTTGACAGCTACTGATATGAAGTTGATCTACTCACGTTTAACACGGACCTCCAGCTCCTTCTCCATCAGCTCTTTGGGGCTGGAGAACTCACTGAGCGTGATTTTGGGCGTCGTGGCATCGTTCTGTCCCACGGTGCCGATCATTTCCTGCTCTTTCTCATGGTTCACCTCAGCATATATATTAAGCCAGGGGATTTTTCTGAAAAGGCAAGAATAAAGATCCTAATCTGTGCGAACATTAACAGTTCACACATTCCGTTAAAAATCACTTCATTTTAATTGGCAGAAGCAACACTTAATCTCCTGCAGTATGGTCTGAAAAGTTAAACTCACGTAGAAAGTGCAGATTTCAGTGAAATTCAGCTTCATTTGATTTTATGAGGCATGATTAATACTTGTTCCTGCACTTTTCACTGGGAGACCAAGTGTAAAGCCCTTATGCACGTTCTATTGAGGAGCCATAATAACTGACTATTAAATGAAATATTGCTCAAGTATTAACGTCTCTACCATATGTCAATAATTTAAGACTTAAGGCTATTTATCACGCTCACTCAGTCTTCCTTCTACATTTACCAGAGTTTCACTGTTACAAAAGAAGGGTGGATTACATTCACAACTGCTCTCAATAATGGCTGGACCCGAATTTATAAGCAGGAACCAATTACAAAAATGTTTCTCAGAGCGAGCAAGACTAATTCCCCAAATGTTCCTCTTTGTGAGCTTTCACATCTTAACAACCACCAAATAATGGATTTGCAATATCACAGACACAAAATTACCCCCCTTCCCCCACCACCATTTACATTTATGACTGGAAATATGTGCTTTAAATTACCTTCTTCAATTTACTTCAAATTACTATTAATTTTCTTATTTAATTGCTTTGTTTTGTCAAGTGTGACATTTCAATAAATACGATTCCTCTTTAAATTAATGGGAAAAATCCATATCCATTATTGATGATTGCTTCAACATTTCCCAGAGACGCTGCCATGCAAATTATTTTGAGCACAAATAAATTATTCAAAGAGTTACTAACAGTTTTCCAGCAGAGATACCCCTGCTGCATATTAAAGAATTTAATGGTATTTTTCACCAATTTACTTAATGTTGTTTTTTTGCCACCATGCTTTTGCTGCATGCATACTGATCACCTCCATCTACACTGATCAGAAATACTGTTTTCATGAAGTTCTGAGCATTAATGAACGCCATGACACTCATACTGGTTTACTGTTAATTAACATGATTCTACATGGAGCATGCAGCTCTCAAATGAGTATTTATCTCCGATTGAGAGAATAAATTATTGCTTAATGCAGTATTGTACACTGTCTGGGAAAAAACGGTACTGTCTGGGCGAGGTGCAAACAATTTAAATGTTAAAACATAGACTTTAAGATCCAATTGTGTAGTTTAAATGAGTTTTTGAGAAGGGTCTGAGCCGCAGAGCTGCAGATTTACACCCGCGTTTTCTCTCCAATGGTTTCAGGCCAGTGGAACACATGCGCAGTAGGTCAGCGCGATTGTGCCATGTAAACAACGTCCTTATAGGAAAGTTGAGCGAATTTCAACCAGTGGCCGGTCTCCTCAACATCTCTGATGTAAACAGCGATGGTTTGTGCTGGTTGTATGTGTCGCCATGCATGTTAGCATTCAGGAAGGGATATCGTTGCCGGTATTCAAATCAACCATTGGTAACCGGTAAAACCATAAGCCAAAACACATTACAAAACCTTAAGAAACCAAAAGAAACGCTCAATGGTTTCTATGGGCTTTTTCAGCAGAGATACGTTCAAAAACTAAAGTTTGTTTTAACCTAAAGCTTAATATTATGCTTAAGGTACATTGTTATTCCTGCACATGTAATGTAAGTGTACAAATAAAGCCTCCTATATTAAGGGTAAGGTAATTGAACTGTATGTCTACATAACCCATTAGAATACCCAGGCCACATAAGCTGTAGTTTGTGTAATATTGACCCTGTGAATTTCTATATGCGTTCAAACTAGTTTGTTTTAGCCTAAAGCTTAAAATATAACGTTAAACCAATGCACATTTATTGGAAACCCACATAAAATGACTGAAATGTTGATTAGCCTAAAACTCCCTAAGAAAAACAGAACAAGTGAGTTAATGCCACTGGCTTGAACCTGCTGGAATGAAACTGCTGGCATGAAACTGTGGCTCTGCGGCTCTGTAGGCAGATATTATTGCCTGTTTTAGACATCCCTCAGTTTTTATTCTATAAGATACAGTAGTAAAAATGTGAGTTAGAAGAACTTTTAACAAAACTAAGTTTAGTTGACTTAAAAAAGCTGTGCAGCAAGTTTGTTTTTACACTGTATCGAAGGTTTTTTACAGGTATCAATTTCAATTTACTCTCAAAAGCAATAGCGAAAAAAAAGAAAGAAAGAAAATGCATCCAAATATCACAGGCAGTGCCAGCGTTGGTTGTGCTGAGTTGACGCCTTTTACTCTGCTTTTAAATCAAGACAAAGCAGCAAAATGACATCTCTCCTCAATCTATATCTGTTTTTCTTAATCTTATTGGCTTTGAACATGGCTCAGCCATTGTGAAAGACTCAATATTGAGTTCTGTATCAATGTGCTCTGAAATCTTTCTCAAGCAAGTCACTTTAATCTTCATTTACTCCTACATTTGTCATGCTCAATCTGAGTGTATTAATTTGTTTAGGACTTGCATGTGTACCCAATCGTTTAAAAAACATTATAGAAAAGAACATTCAGTCCACATCATCTTCTTGCTGGGAAATTACTGTCGAACAAGTACGAAGAGGAATTTGTACCAAATTGAATTGCAGTTTTCCAGGGGAAAAACACGAAATGCTTTACATGTGTGACATTACTTTTCAGTAGTGACATGCAGAATACATGCCACAGTAAAAAGCAAACTACACTGTCTTCACATCACTGAAAAACAGCAGAAGATTTGTATTTAAAACTAAGTGCAGTACTACAAACAAATTTGCCTCATTGAAATGCAATCATAACAGTAAAAAAATGAAATGCATTGCAGTCATTGGATTGCTTTAAGCTGTGACATGCAGAAAATGTGCCAAACTAAAAAGTAAAAGATCCATTACATTGAATTAGCATCTCTTGATGTCTTAACAGAAATACAAAACATGTGGATTTGCATTTAAAGAGTGAGAAGCTGAATGCATGTCAGGCAGAATTCAACTCAAACAACCTTGAAACTCAATCAATTAACAACTACTATGCATTCCACTGAGTGGTGCTGTGAATGTGTCAAAACTGACTGCAATTCATATCCTTATATTTCAGTTAAAACTGTGTGGTATTTGTGCCACAATGAAAAGTAATGTCCAGTCGCAGTCCTTAACAAAAGCTGGAGCGTGGCTGAAAAGTAATCCAAAGAAAATGTGTTTTTCATGATGGCACATTTTATGAAACAGTAATCCTCATTTACGAAAGAGAAAAACACATTAACCATGTTGCTATTTGCTCTTATCATTATCGTAAATATGGAGAGTGTTTTATGAATCTAGCCCAATATGTCCTAAAGTTTGTAGACACCTGCTCATCCATCATTTCTTATGAAATCAAAGGTACTTATAAGGAGTTTGTGAGATCAGACTATGCCTTCAACATGGTGGTGGTAGTATAAGGGAAGATTGGTTGAGGGAGGGGGAGAACTCTGAGAACTTGGGCTGGAGTTCTGGGCAGCTTCTGCCTGTAGCTAGAAGGCCAGATCCCAACTCAAAGCTGTAGCAGGACTGAGGTAGGACTGAGGAACAAGGAGGAGATGGGGATTGCGAACACTTTGTCACGGGGACGGAAGGTGAGGATGTGACTTTATTAAATTGAAAGAGGGAGGGGTTTCAGGCATGTTCCTCTCCCCCAAACTCAGTTATAACATGACTACATTTTGTCCCCCCTTTGCTGTAGTAACAGCCTCTATCTCTATCTCTGCTCGATCATCAGCCCTGTCAGACCATGAGCAAACTGATGCCTTGGTGTCAGCATTTTCAAAAAGATAAATTTTACCCATGGAATCTGAAGTTTTCAAAAATCTTCACCCTGGAGAGCTTTTCCTCAAAGCTGTGTTTGCAGTGATATGAAATGCTGTGTTTGTGTAGACAGGAGGCCAAAACACAGGCAAAAAAACGTTCAAAAATATCTATATGTGTGGACGAGGTCTGAGGCTGCCTTCAGTGATATCGCAGCAAGTCAGAAAGCGCTGGAAACTAGATTAGACACCAGCAACGTTAAAGAAATTCAAAGGCTTAGTGAGAAGGACAGCTGCAAAGCCGAAAGATCCTGAGGCATCTACTCTGGTGGTTTCGTGCCAGCAAAGCAAAGGCATTGGGAGCCTGTGTACTGAAGAGATGTGTTGTACCTCTTAAATTTGTAGATGAGGAAGACTGCTAAACCCAGGAACACCACAGAGAGGAGCATCAGCATGGCAGAACTGCTGTGTCTTGGGATGGAGTCCACCAAAGGAGCTAAGATAGAGAGAAAGAGAGAGAGAGCATGTCAGTTATGATTTATATATTTCATACTTATGCTTCTCTAGTTTCTTAAACTGGAGAATGTAGATGATCAACCAAGACACATTTAGTGCCTGATGTTTGCTTCTTTAGTTTAATGTACTTAACAAATACATCTTCACCCTCTAGATGATTAGAATTGCATCTGTCAGGCAATGTAGTTCCTCAGTAACATCATTCCACCATCTCTTAGTCTAATAATTCTGACTAATTTACTGCGGATTAATAATTTAATCCAACGTTCTCACTGCAGGTTTGTTTTAAGGAGTTCTGACAAAGTTGCTCCTTTAAAGGCATGTTTAGAAATCAGTGTGACTGGCTCAGAGGCAGGTCAATCACAATTTGCAACAATGTCAATTACATAATCATGTAAAATGAAGTTTACATGAATTGTAATCATCAGAATTTTTGACGTAGCCCCGATGTCATTTCAGTACCTACAGTTTAGGAACTGTTCTACACCAATTAAAATTTTTTTGTGTACGTCCAAGCCAAGAACCATTTAGGAACCTTTTTCCTACAACTGACTGTCTCTAAAAGTAACTGTTATATAAAAAAAAACCCACATAAGTGACTCTAGATTGGCACAGAATGGGGAACTACAATTGAAAAAACATATGGCTCGCTCATCCAATTCACCAAGTCCCAAAGGAGCTGTTGCTGTGCTGAGATTCTCCTGAATCTCCGCCATCAAGACGAGGCTGCATTTTTCTCCACTCGGCTGGCTTTTTGAGAGGCAGGCTGTGATGCTGCTGACCTTTTCTTGAGCAGCTTGAAGGCTTTTTGGACCTTTCAAGGCTGGAAAATGGACGGGAGTCCAGCGGTTCGGGCCACTCAGACGGCTGGAGCATCGCAGCAGATTCATGCAGAACTGCATGCTGCGTGGCGGGGTCAGGCAGTTCCTAGTGGCTGCTGTGGTCACTGCAAGGCATTATAGATCCCCGCTGAAGGGCATTTTTACAGGGGCCGAATGATGCACAGCAACTGTCGCTTGTTCACCTGACCGTTTTGTCCTAAATTTAGCCGTAGGATAAAAGAAGGTATGAGCTTCCTTCCATTATGTTATTTGAACTTAACCACGTTTCATGTAAAAAAAAAAAAAAATAAAAAATAAAAACTAGTTATCTATCATAAAAAAATGACTTATTACCTATTTCTTCTTTACAGCTCACTGAAACAAGCAAAGAAATTTTGCCAAAAGTGAAGATTCTAAGTTTCAGTCCACCATATTTGTGTTTCTGAGTAGAAGAGAAGACACTTTGTCATTTGAATTTGAGGAAAAGTTAGTGCTGTTTGTTGTTTAGTGGGAAGAAAAACCATCCTTTACATTTTTGTCATTTTTTAACATTGAAACAAAAAGAAAAAAATAAACATAAAATAAATGTAGACTCAAACCTGTCAATATACATTCAGGGTAAATGTACTGTAATATATTATGTAACTAAGTAAAGTAATTATAATAAACATGTAATTAAATATGTAATTGCATAATTATGTTTGACTGGTGTAGCCAAACATAAATAATAGCTCACTTGGAGGGGGTAGTCATGATTAACTATGTGTTTTTTATTTTTTAAAATATGAAAACAACATTAAAAACCAACTTTCATTCAGCGGAACTTTTTTGGCCTGAAAATTGAAGGTCTGTCAAGTCTTGATTGCAAAGTGGTAATTATACAATTATGTTATAAAATCACTTTCAAAATCAATGCCAGTGTTCAGTAACAAAGGCACCAGCAATTCTCAATGCTGACAAGCCTCTCTGGTCTCAAGGACCAAATAATCAACATAATTACACCCAGTAGAAACTCCATTAGGCGCTGGAAAAGATATCCGACAGATGGTGAACAAGAAACAAAAAAAGATCCTCTCGCAATTTGAGCTGCAGCACCAGCAAACAATTCCGAATATGACAACACCACATGGGCCTTCAAGGATGTATTTACGCTGATCATTATGCTTTATTGATCCTTAAGAGCTGAAATACAGAAAATAATCAACTAAGGGAAATGTGGAAATAAAAGATACAGTAAAAATGTTTCATGTAGTACAATATGTAATTCACTGCATTAAAAGAAGGACTATAAAAGCATATTAAAAATTGATCTTACCTAAAGTTAACTGCGTGATGTAAACAATGACTCTGGATCCCGGCTTCAGCTCAAACTCCACCAAATTCTGGTTCAGTGCACTGACGAGGATTTCTGAAATCTATCAAGTAGACAAACTTTAACTTTATTAAAAAGTATCAGTCAAAAGTTTGAACACGCCTTGTTATAGAGATGTTTTCTTTCACTATTGTGCACATACTAGAATAGTGCAGAAACCAAAACTGCCAATAGTGCAGTAATATGCAAAACGCCCCATTCAAATTGTTTTTTGGCTTTTGTAAATAAGAATAATACATTATCTACACATCCATATATTCCACTGTATATAATCATGGAATGGATATATATAGCATTTAAAATGCCATTATATATCTAGCATTACATGGTCCCACATAGAACTATATATTGGCCTTGTTCCAAATAAAGCTATTAGTCCCTACGTATCATTCAATGCATATGATTGACTTTTCGACCAATTAACTTGTAATGAGCTACACATATGAAGTAGAATTGAGTCATACTCTTCCAACTTTGTTTTGCTGATGTTCTAAATGAAAAAAAAAAAAATTGAACGTAAACATTTAGATTTGGAAGTAAATTCATATGTAATTATGAGAAATATATTTCAAGCCTTTGAGCTTGAAAAAGACCTACAGTCTGTGTATATATATATATGTGTGTGTGTGTGTGTGTGTGTGTGTAATTGAGAATGACCCATTTCAAAAGCATGAATCACCCTACACCCCATACGGTGATTATGTAATAAAGATAATAACAGTTATGTATTAAAAACTGCTCTTTACAATTATCTTACACTAATCAAGCACGAGAGTCCTCATTAACACCTAAATGCATACTTCAGGTCATTTGCAAACGTTTATATCTATTTTTATATCTCATTTATATTTATATATAAATGTCTGATCAGCCATTGTATAATCATTAATTTTTTGGCTTTATTGAATCATGTTCTTTATGAGCATATATGCAACAACAGCATCATGAAATCAGATTATTAAAAGGCCCATATCCAGAATGGCTTAATCTTTGTTCTGGTTTGCAGCCCTTTATTATGCCTCAGTCAAAAAGCAGTTAGGCTGAAACACTCCTTATAACGCCAGAATGAATGGGTGGAGCTAAACTGCTGTAGGCTGAGTAGGTGTGTGTATGTAAATGATGTGTTTTCCATGACATCACAAAAACAGTGAATTCAAAATGGGCTGTTTTTGCAGCTTAGTTTTCATATATGGGACCGCATGGACTGGGGAGTGACCAATACATTTTAAACCTTTAACAGTGTTTATATATTAAACCTTTATTTTTGAGAAAGTAGATAAAATGCCAATACTGGCTGCTAGATACTTCATGTAAAAATGTAAGACTGACCTGCTCCAGGTCCTCCTCGTTCTTTTTCCTGGCATCTGACTGGTTCTTGCTGGGAAGCAGGAAGAGCTCTGCAGCTGTGGGGATTCCTGGGAACACTGCCACCAGTAGTTGCTCAGGAGGAATATCAGCAATCTAGTGGAAGGAGGGACCAACTCATGGTCAGTTTAAACACATTTATAAAGACTCATTGTTCTAGTAGATGTTTAGATAAGACATCCAGATGTGATCATTGAAGGTTTTAGTCTAGCACAGTTTGGTAAAAAGTCAATTTTGGGCTAAAACTAGCATGTACTGTGTTATTGGTCATGTTATATAATATTCTGTAGCACAGCACCGTATGATTCATCCTGCCATTGATTGATAGAGTTCACGATTTTGTATGCTTTTTGAATTTTCCTCCATTAATGTTCTCTGACTGCAATAGCAGACATAGTGCAAACAAGTCAAGCAATCAGTGAGAACCTCCCCACAGTGATCAAGAAATGCACCGATGTAGAGGCCAATAAATACAGATACCATATTTATCATATTCAGGCTCTTGGTAACATTGGCTATCTGGCTTCCTTCTGCATTAACCAGCTAGTGGGGAGATAAAATGAATAATTTTCAGTGTATTTGAAGGGGGTCTTCTCAGCCTTAAACCTGAAAATTCCATTCTTGGAACTACTGTGTGCATATTTACAACAGCAATGGTTTGATTTTTCATTTCGGCTGCTGTGTAAAGCTGCCAAAATGTTCTTTGGAGTGATGCCGTAGTAGAACCACTTGTGGTTCCTTAAGTCCTTAAAGAACCTTTCGATGCAAGGCTGCCAGAATCCTATAGGCCAGCGGGCATTTGACCCACCACTTTTCAAAGTACTGTGGCGACGCCCCGCTACTTTTTGAGTACAGGACGTGCACATAAAAACCTCTGCTTTCCATAAACTGCATAAAGCACTGACCAGCACAAACAGGCAGAGTAAAACTGAGTGGCAGAGCCAATCAGAATCTCCATTTCAGCTGCCTTGGATGGTGCGGACCTGTCCAACTTTTTCTTTAGTTCGGTTTTGACATGTGACTCTACCTGAATTTAGAGAGCACCAAACAACTAAACTGCGCTGATTCACAAGGGAATTCAACACGTTTTTCCAGAGCACATTTTCACTGTACTGTCTGCACAATCTGATGCTTTAACATTTCACTCTTTACAAACACTCATTTCCTTGAGCTGCTGTAGATATGGAGAGACAAGCAATAAAATCATGATATGCATTTGACTTTGGCACATGGCCCATGGAGCAAATTTTTGGCCAAGCATCAGCGATAAGTTAAATTTAAATTGGTATTCATAAAGATGATAAACTTCTGATCAATAAGACTGTGGTGGTCTTATGAAAATGAACTGGGTATAAAAACAGCCTACTGAAGCAGCATCAAAACAAACACTGACATTCTTCATGATCAGGTTTAGAGGTGGGTACATACATACATACATACATACATACATACATCTTCTAAACCGCTTATCCTTCTGGGTCGCGGTGGGGTGCTGGAGCCTATCCCTAGCTGTCATTGGGCGGAAGGCAGGATACACCCTGGACAGGTCGCCAGTCTATCGCAGGGCAGACAGACATACACATTCACACACACACTCACACCTAGGGGCAATTTAGCGAGTCCAATTAGCTTAACTGCATGTTTTTGGACTGTGGGAGGAAACCGGAGTACCCGGAGGAAACCCATGCAGACTTGGGGAGAACATGCAAACTCCACACAGAAACAACCCTGTGAGGCAACAGCGCTACCCACTGCGACACCGTGCTGCCCTAGAGGTGGGTAGAGGAGCCTAAATCAGTATTCAAGTAAAATAATTACAAAAGTAAAAGTACTTTCCCTTGAAAGTAAACTTGAGTAGAAATACAAAGGAAGCAGCTCATAAATCCACTTAAGTACTCAGTACTGCAGTGGAACTTAGTACATCCATCATTTATCAGCATAGGAACTAAAGATTGTGCAACTCTTTTCGTCTCTTTTTGGGATTCTTTTGGTCTAAAATACAGAAGCTCCACAGTCAGAGGTGTAACCAGTCCCAAAGCAGTACAAATACTGCCACCATCAAAACAAACTGAAATTAAACACAAAATGCGATTTGTATCTAAATATGAATGGTTAAAATGTAACAGAGTAAAAAAAAATCCTTTACCCACTTTACTAGAAGTTAGAATTTTTTTTTTTTTAAATATGTTTTGGCCCACCACTTTTGGGAGTGTGGCGCCACCCCTGGTTTGATGGACGGTTCCTCATAGAATCATGTTTGTAAGTGAGATGTGTGAGAGTGACATTTGAAAAACCTTCACATAATGGCATAGCAGAAAATTAAGCTCCACTCTTGCTTCAGATCTGAATCCACAGGTGTTTCTGTCCATCCTTCCATTGTGAGAAGACAACTCAACACTATGAGTCTGAAAGGATGTCTAGCTGTCAGAAAATTCTTACTGAGAAAAGAAAGTCAACCAAATATCTGAGACATGAAGTAAGACTTATGGGTCTAAATTTGTAATTGGGGTTACTTGGAGAGTGAAAAGCAGAAAATGCAACCAACTTCTAAGACTGAACTTTGGATGTGTGGAAAAACATGCCTGCTGTTATATATATGTATGTGTGTGTGTGTGTGTATATATATATATATGTATGTGTATATGTATATATGTATATATATATATATATATATATATATATATATATATATATATATATATATATATATATGAAGAGTTGACACGCTATATATTGATATTTTGATTGATATTGATTTTGATTTTAATGTTAAATTTACTTCTTGAGGCTTCTGTGTAAGTTTCTACTTTTTTACCTGCTAAAAAAAAAAAAACTTATACTTAATATCCTGACAAGGTATAAAAACAAAAGTGACAGACCAAAACAAGACAGGCTTTCATATTCTTTCATCAAAATCTGATACGTTTTCACATTCCTCTTTCTTTTGTGCTGACCAGTGAACGTCACCAGTGGACAGTAATGTGCTCAACCTCAAGCACATTACCTAACTCGATAAAGCGACGCTTCAGACTCCTGTTTCAGGGGCCAAGTGCTGTTTGCACAGCAAGCCACTGAGTAATTTAGAGTGAGAAGGATGGGCCGGAGGCCGAGGCAGCAGCCCTCAAAGAAATCAATACACTTAGATTGTCCAAGTTTGTCCTTGCTTTAGCAGCATGACCGGAAAATGCCTTGGGCTATACTTAAAGGCTAAAGATGTCCATTTTAAGGACTGTGATGGTTCTTGAAGTTTTGTTGCTAATAAGAAGCCATTTCATTGAATATATAGACCAAACTCATCAGAAATAAGCCACTATCAGTCTTTAAAAGTCCTTAAAATGCTCTACAGGAACAAGTAATGGTGTCTGCTGTAAGGGCTCAGTGCATTGCAGTAAAACCTAGGGTGTCCTAGAGGGCCTTAGTTCAGCACAGTTTGGTGATTTACTCGAGCATTCACGTCAGCAGTCAGTTGCTAGCTTTAGTAGGGGGGTTTGAACAGCAAAATCACCAAATTGCCTGGACTCTCCAAAATTTGGACACTCTGGAAGCCCTTTGTAGATTAGTAAATTGTCCCAATTTATGTGCAAAAGTAGTCAGACAACTGCAGTAGAAATAGCACTTCTCTCTAGGATAAGTCTCGTAAGGCCAGATGTGATCTTAAAATGAGAATACATGCCTGGAGGCAACTTGGTAAACTTTTGGTGCTGGTTTGTGCCAAAAACCTGTCGCTAACAAGTGTACGTCCCGTCTAAAACCTTCCCCTCAAACTTCCCTAGTCTGTCCTTTTTTAACATCCAGAGTACAATCAATACTCTCGCAAAAGAACCTTGCTAGCAAAAAGGCTTTTGTTATCTAGCATTCATTCTTCAAAATTCGTTTTTAGGAACACTGTTCAGTTTGCTTTTGTTAGGTGTGCTGAATACACAATTTTATGAAACCACTTCGAATAATAATTTTGAAGACAGTAAATCAGGACAAAAGAGAGATATTGGTTTGTTTGCCAACAGGATATGGTAAAAGTTCAGTTTACCATGCTTGGGTCTTGTCTCAAAGCAGGATTTCTCGCTTAGGCAGCTAATTTCGATTTAACCCTGGATTTTTGTCTCATGATGGTGAATCCCTTTTTACCAGGCTACATCACCATGGCAATTCATGCTGCACACCAAACCTGCTTCAGGGCAGGTTTAAGTTTGGGATGATAATAAACAGTTCTTGGACCAATCAAAGCAAGCTTCTGACCAATCAGTGACTGATAGAGGTGAAAGCCTCTGGTCACTTTTTTCTTTGCAATGTTTGTGGCATAATCACATGAAGAACATAGCTTTTTGAACAGAAGAAGCAAATCATACTACAAAATATTAAGAATATAATGCAATTATTGCTCCAATAAGCACTAACATGGTGGAAGTCAAGACAGTCTGGTTTTCTACTGCAAGTGCTTTACCTTCCACACATTTATGCAAATTTCTTCTTCGTTCTTGGAGAAAAAATTAATTGACTCCTCATGTTTCACACGACTGGCTGCCAATCATAAATGTCATGCTTTCTTGTGCATATGTAATGATTTAATTATACATCAGCTTGAGTATCTAAACTTGGATTAACAGAGAAAGCTCTTAACTGTTTTATTAAAGGAGTTAAGTGTCAGTTGGTTCTGTTACGCTGAAACTTCAGAAATAATGTCTAAGTTGAACCTGCTTCGTGAGACAGGTTCCAGATCAGCTGGTTATGACTTGATGTTTAAAACACAAAGATTGACTCATCTGAGAGGCAATGTTTTATTACTACATGTAATATGTTCTCTGTACATGTGACACGCCTGCATGCTTATGACAGGCTTGTTGTCCATTAGACCAACATAGGAGCGCACCATTGCCTCCTACGTTGACCTCTGCCTTCACAAAACATAGAAATGTCACTTTCGGTTTGATCCCACCCTAATTCCCACCCACATTTAGCCCAGGGTTGCGGAACAGAGGGCCAGTGTCCAGTACAGTTTGCCTCTTTTTCATGCTTTAACAAGCAAACTAAACCTGGTTAATATACTCCAGAGTTGAACCAAGTGTTTGAGCAGGGACATCAGCTAACTGTGCAGGAAT